ACAGGAATTTTGGAAGATAATGCACTCTTAGTTGAGCTCTTTGATGCCTTTGGTGCTCCTGGAATGACTCCTACTAGTGTTAATGACCAGTTAGTCAAAGAAGGCCTAGCATCTTATGAAGTAGGGTAAGTAGATGGATAAACTTTCATTTTTTTGTTTCACATGTAACGTTTTAATTACAAGAAGATAAGGTGAGATATTCCTGTTCCTGCATCAGAAAACACAGAGGAAAGGAATTGAAGTCTTTAATGAGTAGATGACTAATGAGTAGAATGGCTTTTCCTTTCCCCCTAAGAAATCTTAAAACTGAAGAAAAAAAAAAAAAAAGCATCTCAAGATGCTTCTAAGAAACAGAGATTGTCATCTTATTTTTTAGGTGGAGGCAGCCATTATGACTATCTCAGAAAGAACATTGAGAAAAGAAATGGTGGGATAGAGAATAGCTTAGTGATAGAGGAGTTCACATTTCCTGTGAATAAACAGGAATATCCTGGGTTCAAGTGCTAAGGTTTTGTGTCATGCTGGGGATCAAACCCAGGTTCTCACACATTGTAGGCGAGTACTCTTCCAATAAGCTGCATTCCTAGCCTCTATAAGTGGATACTCCTAAAGATAATCAGGTTTAAGCCATTATGTTCATACCTACTAAAGACTGATCAGTGGACAAGGTGATCTGCAGCAAAAGAACAGAGTACTTTGTAGTATGACTTGAAGCATACAGTAAAAATTCTCTTTTTAGGTACATAAATGATTTGACATAGTAGACCATTTTGTAATTCCATGCTATATGTTAAAATATAGTGATGTGTCATCACAGATGGAAGGCTTTAAAGATCATAACAAAGACTTAAAGACTTCTACAATGGGAGTGGACACTGCAAAAAAAAAAAATCCTCTCATGCATAGCCCTCCAAAAAGCCCATATTTGGATAGCTCCCACACATAATGGCTGTCAGTGGAAGCTAGAGTAAGAGTGACATCTACCGGAGGCTTTCAGTGACACCTCCTATAATACTCATCTTTGGTCTAGCTCCCTCTTTTACCTTGACACATGTGAAGCTAGAAGCAGGAAAAAAAGAGGACCTGGCCTTTTTCCACAGAATCTCTCAAAGGAGGAAAGAAATGAGAGTAAACATTTAAGCTATGTTAGACCAAGTTCTATTCTTTGTAACCATAATTTATGACATATATAATTCATATATATAACTTATAGCAACAGAATAATTGTTAAATATTCTTTGTAGAATGACTTGAAGCATACAGTAAAAATTCTCTTTTTAGTACATAAATGATTTGACATAGTAGACCATTTTGTAATTCCATGCTATATGTTAAAATATAGTGATATGTCATCACAGTTAGGATACAGCATATTTCCGCCATCTCACATAGTTCCTTTGTGTCTTTTCTTTTTTTTTTATTTTTTTATTTTTTTTTTGTGTGTGTCTTTTCTAAATAGTCCCTTCACCAATGCATAGATATCACTGATCTAGTTTTTATTCTTACACTTGTGACTTTCCCACAACTTTATATAAGCCATAATATGATATCTTGCCTTCATGTCTGGATTCTCATTGTTCCATAACACTTTAGTCTCTAATATTGTTGCATATATTAGTCTGTTTCTCTTTATTGTTAACATTCTATACGGCTTAGACACGATTTGTGTTTGTTTTTTGTTTGTTTGATTGGGATTTTTTGTATTTTAGTAAGGGTCTACAGGTTCTCACTATGTAGATCCACCTGTGTTAAGCTTCCGAAGAGCTGGGATTACAGGCACGTGCCATCATGCCCAGTCTCAAGACATGATTTGTTTTCATTCACTAATTAACTAATGTTTAGGTTATTTCCAATTTGGGGCAGTTTCACAAATAAAGCTGCTGTAAACAAAATATGTAACAGTATGATTGTGATTTTATAAGTCAAGTAAGTGTAGCTTTAACTTTACAAGAAAAAACCCAAATGATGTTTTATGACTGCCTTCACAAAATATAATTTTTTGTGATTATATTGTTTAATTTTTCATACCTATATCTTTTTAAAATTTTTTTAATAGATTGCAAATTGAAAATGAATTGTTTACAAGTATAATTGAATATAACAATAAAAACTGTCCAAAATAAAAATGAAGAAAGAATTTACAGATCAGTCATAATAGTTCACTGTGTCAAAACCAAGAAACTTATATTCATATAA